AGACTGAAGTCAACTAAAGGGCTAATGATAACAATCAAACGCCTGCCATTTGATATATTAATAATAATAACTTCCCTCAATAGAACCATCTCGCTGAAACATGAAGGCAATGCATAATAAAGTCTGGGGTAATAAAATGTTGAAATGTGATTGAGGAAATACAGCGAATATTCAAGTCAATGGGCCCACTTATTATCTACAGGGGGACTATTTTAAAAACTTCAAAGAATTGAAGTAAATGGCATTGATCATCCTATTTGAAAATGTGATCCTGATGAATATGCCCCTGGGTTAACAAGTGAAGAGAGCAGGAAATCGCACGTAAAAAAGGTAGGTTTAGCGTTAATAAAAAGAAGATCCGCTAACAAGTAACAACAAAATTAAGTAGATCTTGAGAACATTACAACATTATTTTATAAATGAGCGTACTACGTAATTTGAAATAAGCAAGAAGGGTAGATTCTTATTACTCATGTCCATAAAACAACAACAACTGAAATGTCCCACTTTAACTAGCCTAAAACGCCTAAACGTATTGGCTAATTGCTAACTCATAGTTATTTCTGCAATATTCTGCTAGCGAATGGAAAATTTTGTAAACACATCTGAGTTAAATGCAAACATCAAAGAAGAAAAAGAACACTAAATGGCTTGGTGATTCACGCAAAATTATTTGAGGGAAAATACACTGCTTGGCATTCAATGTCTGCCATTTTAATAAATTACTGCAAAGGAAACTAAATGTGTGCGGGGATTAAGATAAGGTTACAAAGCCACATGCATTGAGTCATTTCAAAAGAATTCTAGCAGAACTAGTGCTTTTAATAGTGTGAAAATATTAGCTGAAAAAAAAGTTCGTTACGGTAGAGGTCACTGTTCCACAACAATAGTGAACTCCCATGAATTCAGAGGGTTAAATGCTCGATATTTCATGTCTGATAAAATTCAAGGATAATCGAACTCTATTTACAGAGTTGCTTTTACAGTTTTGTCATTAAGGAAGATGTGAGTTTGTTGGCACAAAGATTTCGGTGGGGAAACATCTCAATAGTGAAAGGATAAAATCAGTAAAATTAAGAGAACATAAGATCACAGCGATATAATAGGCTTATATTCCCATAGCAGGTCAAGACGTTACAGTATCGAACGACGTTTTAACTTTAACTTTATTCCCATGACAATGTGTTAATTATAAGGTCAGGGTTTGAGTCCTTTATAGCATTAAAGGCAAACTTTAGTTTTTATTCTATAATTTCGACTAGAAACCAAACCTTAGGCTTCCTAAGAAATTCAAACTTGCTTGATTAACAACCAGTCAGAATTTTGGCTTTAAAAAAATGTACATCGCTTTTTAAGTTATGTTTCATTTCGTAAATATTGTATATAGATCGTAAGGTTAATGTTCACAAGAGAAATCACTTGTGAATCAGACGTAAACGATCATTCCAGGCCTAAAAAATACATTTTTGGAATAAAGGATGTCGAATTTTGTAACTAGAATGGAGTAATCAATTTATTTCGTGCTCCTTTTAAGGAAGGGCGCTGAAAATCCTGCGCATGACATACCACCCTATTCGAACAAGCAGAACTTTCAACTCATAAATCACTTAAATGCCATTGTTAATTAAGGCATGTGAAATAAATTTGAAAGAAGAGGTTAAATTACGCAGTTAAAACTAAGCCTGAACAACGTGACTTCTCTACGGTCCACATGCCTTTCCAATTAAACTATAATTTAACTTCATTTATTGCTTAATGAAATAATACGAGGTGATTCTTAAAGTTGAAATAGTTAAATAACCTCACGAAGACGCTATTGTACTAGTTTCAAATAATTGCTCAAATGATTAAGAGAAGGCAGTCGAATTTTTTAAAATTGATATGACACAAAAACCTCAATCGATGTATATACTTCTTTTTACCTTGCTTCCCCCATTTAAAATCGTGGGAATTATCTTACTTACCTATACTTAAGTCACCTTGTATCTGTTTGACTTAGAAGAGAGGAATAAGATTCTAAAACACTTGTTTATCAACTCATATTCGCTACTATACTACTGGCCCGAACTATACAGAGCAACTACTTGTTTCTCCCTATTTGCAACGACTAGACTTGATTTCATGCCTTACGATAAGGATAAACGATCATCGTCCCTTTGCCATGCAATCCACAAATTTTCAACTAACGCCTATAATACATTTATTCATTCCACAAATTGCTCGTGGCGTTACTAATTACATACCTAACTTTGGTATGCATTCTCGTGGGGTAATTGCACATTTCTCACCACTTAATTGAAATATATGGCTTTGGTGGGGCACAAAATATGCATCAGTTTCGATGCCTCTTTTTCCTAAACTGCAAAAGTTGTCGGGGTTAGTTGTCGAGGCAGTGTCAACTGAACACTACTGTCTCTTCTCAAACAGGGTGTCTAGGATTTGGAAGAGAGCATAAGGGACTAAAATGTGCATGGGCATAAGGAGGATGAGTTATATGTAAAAGAGAATGAATTTCTATAAAAGGGAGTTGCCACTTAACAATAGATTTGCTACTACAAGTTCTCACATTGAACAAAAATTAGATATACATAACGAACTTTCCCTGACCAGGAAGAACGCTTAAAGAACTCAAAACACAAAAGAATAAAAGAGTAAGAAATAGTAGTAACTTCTACTTGAATGAGCACAAGTCTTGTTAACTGTTAAAAAAAAACTATTTCGTATGCGAAATAACAAGCGTGTGAATAAGAAATTTGTCAGGTAACAACCCTCCTGATGCTTCATATACTGCCAGAATGTGTACTCTCTTATGAACATTCTCAGTTCAACGCTGCTCATTGAAATAGGGAGACAAAGCTCACGTGGGTATGAACTCCATGACAATATCAAAGTTTGGAAAAAAAAATGTCAAAGCTGGAGGGAATAGGTAATCAAAAAGCACCACAGATATCATCGGATTCCTACGTTTTCTATGATCTGCGAATAAGTGGTCTTATTTCTCAAAAAATAATTTCTTTTCAACAACCGCAAACTAAATCATTATAATGCAATTACATGAGGGGCATCAATTATCAGAGTGGGTAATTTTTATAAAAAAAGGATTCACAGATCCAATCTACTTGACTAACATTTTCTCTCCCAGTTATTACCACTGAGTGAAAATTCGCCTGCATATGGCTTTAAATTCTCATGCTAAGGCAAATTTAGCCAAAAAATTTAAGCACCTCCAAGCGAATCCATTATTACCTTTGCCCCAAAATGCAAAGCGAATTCACGAGAGTATTATTATTTTTCCTTCCAGAAACGCGAAAGGCAAAAAGTGGGGGAATTTTCAACGCCGCACACACACACACACACACACACACACACACGTTTTTTTCAAAAGCTGCATGCCTTGAATAGTGCCTTTAAGATGATGCAGAAGGTGGGTCTTTACATTGGAATGCATTTCGAAGAAAATTGAAATAACGAATGACTGAATACGTGATTAACTCTTTCATAGTACTTACTTCAACTGACTCACTGACTTCACAAAAGGCCTTCAATATTATTATAGCGAATACCTTTACGGCAAAATCATCACAAGCGGCACTCGCTTAGATGGCAATTAATCATTAATAGACTTTTGATAAAGCTTCCTCTACTCGGTCATAAACTTCAGCTCTTAGTTTTATATCAGAATCTTCGTGGGCTCGGTTTTTAGGCAAAAATTAATTAGTCAAATTAATTAATCAATTATGTCGTCATTACACATACACAGCTGAAATTTGAGCGTAATTTTGGTTTTAAGCACATCATATTGTAGTTGGAAATAACTAAAGATAAACGCATTTGTTAACACTTTTATAAATTGTTTGAGTTAGTTCGGAATTCCATCTACCACATTCCGATCTGCATTCGGTTCTACCAATGACTCATTTCATTAAGTAGAACATTGACATTTCACCAATCGATTAACTTACACATCTGTAGTTTATTGGTTTAACTTACGCTAAAACTCCTAAAACTCATGCGGTGAATTTCGAAACAACTTGGAAAGGAAGCAGTTTAGCAAGATTTTTCCACCTGACTTGAGTGAAAAATGCACGGGGTAATGAACTACGTCCTCTTTTAAACGTACCTTTTAAAGAATCTTCGTAGACGACTGTGGATTTTGAGAGTGCTTGCTCACCGCTGTCACTACTGGTAGTTGTGGTGCAAAATTTAATAATTGATGAAAGGCTATCTTCGACCTGTGCTAAGGTCACAGATGCACTTGAGTTCACGCTTGCAGTTCCTCCATTGGTCTGAATTAAAAAAATTGTTAATAACATCTATTTATACACATCTCGTTTTGCTTGATAGTATATAACAATTATTATTATTTCTCAATGCAATGTAAAGAAAAGCCAATAAGCTCTCATTACTGCAAACATCCACGAAAAAGTAGATGGAAAAGGTTTAGAGTTCGAAAGTAATAAAATGAGAGTAGTGGGAGCTTAGAAGCGAGGAGATCCCACTTTAAATCTATCTATTCAAATCTAACTGAAACCAGACAAATATTAGCCAGAAGGTATCATTTCACCCACATACGCATACAAACACACATAGATGCCATAATTTTGTGCTGGTACATTGTTATTCATTTTCCATAAACAAAAATCAACCTAATGTAGAAAAAGATTAGTTGTTTTCCTTTCATTGCAATTTCAGCCGTCATTTCTGCAAAAGTTTTGGAATCACATAGCAACAAAAAATGTGTCTTGTACCAATCAAGAATTTTGACTTGGCACTAAGCGCTTATTTTATAGCCAGTTAATTTGTCAACACTTTGTTCTTTAATTAGTTCTAATGGTAACCAGCTTAAAAGCCGTGTGCATCCACGCTCAACCATTCAAATAACTAGCATAAATGGGCTAAATAACTGGCGAAATTTCAAAAAGAAATTCAATCATTCAACCAGCATGAATTGCGATAAAATAAAAAGAAGAATCCTAGCCAAGACGCGTTTTGGAATTCTACGCAAGAAAGGATTAAGTAGACTAGGATTTATTTTAAAAATTCCTACGTCAAAATACCTATTAAAATTAGCAATATATAAATCTTTTCCGTACCACCTTTTCTGTATCATTTTACTGCAGAAATTGAGAGAACTTTTGTAATTTTTAGCTGAACTGTTTTCACCAGGCACCGGATTTCCTGCGTAGTTATTTTGGGTTAAAAAAGGTAGGATCTAAAGTGAGATAAACCAAATAAACGCATGACTTCAGGAAATATTGAATTTCCCAAAAACGGAGATTTAACTAGGATAAAAATAATGCAAACAGTTGACAAATAAATCTAGACCAGAGTTTTGTAGATCGTCTTAACTTTGCCCAGAAATTAATAAGAGGTAGAAGAGAAAATCAACGAAATCATTAAATATTCCAAACTGAAAACCATTTTTAGACCAAGCACATATATTGCCTATTTAACAAGAGTGCAAATGAAAGTACCGCTTATAAAACGCATCAAAATACCGATAAAATTGACAACAACTAGGAAATAAGATGAATTTCTTTGGAAAATAATGCGATTTCACAATGAACGATTCAGCAATATTATTTGTATAAGCATTATATTATTCTATAATGTGACTAATAATTTCAGAAACTGTAACGACATTTTAAAAGTGAAAACCAGGATGGGAATTTACTACAAAGCATGGCAAGATTAGAATAATATCCATTAACAAAGATTCTTTCAATCGGCCTGTTATAACCCGTTTTCCTTGTAAAAATATGGAAAAGTTAATGATACTTGAAATTACTGGACACTTAATCCAATTGCACTACCATATTTCGATTTGAACAAAATATTCTGAATGCAGCCCTATTTAACTTTTCTAACCAAGTAGACTTACACTAGTGATTGGATTGAAATTAAAGGTACTTATTTAATTTTAGTAATAAGTATATATACAACGTACTCTTTCAAAGTCACGGCGGCTTACATCAGATGAATGGGTAGACCCTTCGCTTTCTACATCCCTCTCCATTTCATTTCTCAAAGCGTTCAGTCTTCCTCTAAGAGCCCTTTCTTCTGCTTCAGTGATGATAAGTAAATCATTAGTATGTCTTTGAAAACCTGAAATCGGGGCTTGTTTTTGTAACTCAGGTTTAATCAGAATTTCACAGAGCGGTGGAGCTGAAGTAACAGCGCAACTAACGCTAGCACCAACTCCAGGAAGACAGCTTGATTTCGTAAAATGATGAGAAAGTTCATAGGAATGATTGAATAGCGGTACTGATGTGGGTCGATGAGACAAAGCTGTTGGTGGCGGTAGAAAGGGTGGAGGAGTTGGATTACGTTCGGGTATTGAAACCGGCTTAGCCATTGACGGAGCTTAAAGCATAAAAAATTGCCTGTCGAAAAACAGCACGCTACGCGATAGTTACCATGTAAAATGTGGATCATCCTTCAGGAGAAATGTTTTTCAAAAGATATGAAAAGAATGCATTCAATTTGCACCTCCGAAAAATTCTTTATCTATGCTTACTCAGTAAATGACTTCATGGTAGGAGAGAATAACGACATGTGAGTATTTCATCAGAAAACTTTCAAGGATTATTTTTCACCAAATATAAATATTTACCACCAACCCCCCCCCCCCCCCTCCAATCATTTCAAAGGATTTAAGATGAGATGAATGCCTTTAACTGACATACTTTGATAAAGTTAACATCACATTGAATCTAATTAACATTTAATTAAACTGGATACTAAAAAACACTAGGTATTTTGATTTTAAGAGTTCGAGTGTGTGATTGGAAATAGTGTCGAATAACTCTACCGTTAATGTAGTAATTAAATTAATTTATGCATAGAGATTCAGATCATGGCCAATCCAAAGCACAAATATTAAATCGTAAAATTATTACAACTTCACCTCTAGAATAGTATGAAAGCGTCTAATTATTTCTATCTATTAAAGAAACCATGCTGATCTTCCTCAACTCGAATCTTTTCACGGTGTACTTTTCAAAAAGTCGAATTCAATTACACAAATCTTAAAGATAAACTAGAATTGCAAGAAAATCAAAGAACAATTTGGTTCAATGTATTTGTCTTACTAAATAATCACAATTTTTGAAGAAAAAGATCTACCTGAACGAAGACGACTAGACGATAAGGTGTGGAAAGAGTTCGAATTTTCAGCAAGAGTATTGTCCAACTGTGATAACATATTTTCAAATGTTCCCCTCAATGCAATGGTATCCATAGAATCCTATTAAAAGAGAAAACTAATTAAAGAAAAACACAGGCGTTAAGACATGAATAATCTTACTGGCTTAATTGAATTAAAATCAGGAAGATCATCAGACGAAACGTTTTGTATATTATGAGGGACAGAACGAGAAGAATCTAATTGTCGTGAAGATGAGGATAAAAATAATTCCAAATGACATTTCTAAAAATATGAAGTTATTTTGTTTTAGAATACAAAATTACATTATAAAACGTAATAGCCTACCGATTTGTTCCCAAAAAGCGACACGAGTTCAGGTAAGGGTAAAAAACGTTGATGTTTATGAGAAATTGACTTCATAGGAAATTGAGCGAATATCTAGCATAAAAACAGCAACCGAAAAAACATTAACGAATATTCACGGTAAGGCACGTGAAGAAATAATAATAGGTATAAAAAGTTATGATTTAATAAATTAAAAGACAAAATAATCCAAAATTATAAAACTCAATTTTATGAACAAGATCTACAATCATTTATCACCCAAAAAAATATTTGAACGCTAATAACTATAAAAGCATACGTCCCAAACATTAGAGAACCTAAATAAACTAAAATTACTCTAAGTTGACAAAATGTGGTCAATATACACACTTAAAAACGCGCTTTGTTATAAAAATGTAAATTGATCTACCAAAACAAACACTTTATTTAATATATTTATGTAAAAAAATTATGCAATGATTAAATAATTATACAAGTTAAATATATTTTGTTTTTTATATTTATTATGTTTTAATTCAACCCACGTGAACATTCACCCTTTCATGCTGCAACATAGCCTACATACATGATAGCCCGTCACTTTTTATAATTGTAAAGTTTCTGTTGTTTATTAAGTCTAGTTTAGACCATTTTCAGAACAATTTATAATATTTCATTCATGTTTATTGGGTTTTAGTTATCAAAATGTTTCGCAGGCCAATTTTCTTCCTTTCCAAACATTTATCGCGGCCGAAATTACGATCAGCTTCCTCTGTTCCTTCAAAGGCACCCTATGCTCTGAAAAATTTACCTCATATTTTCCAACCCAAAATTCTTGCTGGTGCAACCGTTATCACGGGGTCTTATTTCTTCTATCTCTGGTATTTTGACTACGAAAAATTTCCCTCTTCTTACCTAAAAAATTTCGAAGTATGCTTTGCATTTGAAATCATTTTTTTAGGTTTCGTTTTAATGTTTTTTTTTTCGTTAGGCTGTGATATATCGCCGCCTTCCCTCCAATGCTTTTTCACACTTCATTGGCACTGTAAGCGATATCAACATCCCACCATTTCTTCGACGTTTTGTTTTTGGGATCTATGTGTCACTAGCTCACTGCAATATGGAGGAAGCTAAAGAACCAAATGTCGCAATATACTCTACTTTGGGCGAGCTCTTCTCTCGTGAGCTTGCACCCGGAATTCGGACAGTTGATAAAAGTGCTATGCTCGTGAGTTCTCCATTCCTTCTTTAGTTCAGTGTGTAATATGTGTTTTTATACAACTTTTTAATCAATTTCCGTAAGTCTTCCTTGCTCTGATCTCCGTTTCTCATTGGCGGATCATGGGATCCTATTAGCCTCCATTGGTTTGAGTAAGTTTTTGACCTGTTACTAGAAAGACTTCAGCAGGCTTTATTGCTTTGAAGAATGAGCAGTCATTTTTACTCTACTTTAGTTATAACACGAGCTATAATTGGTTTATAGACTTCATATTCGTCTATGGAGATCTTGTAATTATTCGCATTTAATTGCATTTAGTTAGAATTTGAGTCTATTCTTGGGCTCATTTACTGATAGCTATTGAACTGTGCCCTTGGTCTCTCTATCAGTTAGTATGTTAAGCTTTTTTTCCTCTCTGAAGAATTGTCCTTGTGACGGAACCGTTGTCTACGCTGGTCCTGTGGATGGCGATCAGCAGCCATTGTTGGCTCAAGTGAAAGGGAAGACATATAGCGTTGAAGAGTTTCTGGGGCCTCTGCTTCCTGAAAAGCATTTGCGACCTAAAGCTGAGGGCAGCAATAGCCGTCTCTACCAATGTGTGATCTATCTTTGCCCAGGGGATTATCATCGCTTCCACTCTCCCACTGACTGGATTGTCAAGGTGCGTCGACACTTTACAGGTAATTTAATTGGTTTCTCTTTGCAAGCTCTACTGCTTTTTTCTTTTGCCGTCTCCTATTGTTACGTTTTCTTGTCCTTTCATTTAAGTTCCTTTAGGTTTCCAACTATACTATTATTAGAGGTACTGATTTCATCCATTCCATTATGTGCCTTCTGCACCAATAAGTTCGAGAATGCAAAGACAAGTATAGGTGTGGTTGATGCTATTTTTGGTAAAGCAAAAATAAGGACTATAAAGTGGTCAGAAAAGTGAATATTGTTGGATTGGTTGAAATTATTGTTGAATAAAATATCGAAAACTAATTGCGTTAGGTCTATCGAACAAAATAAGTAAATTGATCTTTTCTTTTATCTCTGTGTTATTTCTCACAGGAAAGTTGCTTTCTGTGCGTCCCTCCTTCGTTCAGAAAATTCCCGGCGTCTTTACTCTCAACGAACGTGTGGTGTACCTCGGTGAATGGCGCTACGGTTTCATGAGCCTAACAGCAGTTGGTGCCGCAGGTGTTGGGTCGGTGGTAGCATCCGGAAGTTTGGATCCATCCCTCAACACAAATCCACGTTCGCTCGAGCCTCAAAGGGCCCTGGAACCGGGTCTTCATTTCGATGAGGTATTCATTCCAACTGCTGTGGAAAAACTGACTTCTGGGGCTCCCGTTGGGTACTTTAAGATGGGTTCAACCATTGTCTTGGTGTTTGAAGGACCTGATAGTGGCTTTGAATGGACCGTGAAATCAGGAGACAAAGTCAAATTCGGACAGGCGCTGATGCGAAAGGAGAGGAATTAGATTACTGAAATCATACTTTGCATAGACAATAGATACCTTCTTTTTTATAAGTTTGTTATCCTTTTTCTCATTTTGGCTCTTAATATGATTTTCCCTAAGTGAGATTAGTGCAATTAATTAAGTTATTAATATTTTGAGAATGCCATATTTTGATCATGAGGGGGGGATAGATGGTCACTACAAAAGGTGAGAGGAATTGGGTTACTATGCGGTGAAGACCTGGAGGAGTCTTACAAAGGGTAACTTTGTCTAACCCAGAACGGTCAATTACAGAAACCAATTATGTTGTCCCGCGTTAGACTCGAGAGATTTTGATACTACTCGTTCAGATATCTAGTAGAAGTCCATTGTGTACTATGTCAGTACTGCTGATGAATAATGTACGAGTACACTGATAAACGATGAGTTACTAATTTTCTGCACTAAAGGACGGAGGTCCAACATTACCACTGTATGACAATATATATATATATATATATATATATATATATATATATATATATATATA